TAATTTTCTTCCGCAACATAAATTCTAAAAATATTATAATAATTTTGTTATTCAAAATAAATTCTTTAATTTATTATATTTGTCCTAAAAAATACTATTTATCCCATAATTACTATCTATTCAAAATTATTCATCAAATCCACGCAGATAAATATTAACAGATCTAAAATTGCAGATAATTCATAATAAATAGAAAAATAGTTCTGAGCAAGCGGGATCTTGCCTCGGGGTTCGTCGAATGATTCGACGTTGACGGCACAGGTCGGATCTGACGAGGAGAGCGCGGCACAGCGGGGAACTCCGACGAGGGACTGCGGGGTGAGGAGGCGAGCACGGGGCCTCGGACTGAGGGGTCGACGATGGTGCAGACGGCTGGCCCGTCTGGGTCGACGGGAAGTGTGCTGTTGTCGGATGATGCGGCTGTTTAGGTGGCTGAGCGAGTCTCGTCGCGCGAGGGGCTGAATGCGGTGAGTTAGAGGAGGGGAGGAGGAGGTGCTCCGGGCCTGGGGGTTCGTCCAAGCCGCACGGCGGCCAGGCCAAGGCCGCTGGCGGCTACAGGCAGCGGTGCAAGGCTGGCGCGAAATAAATTAGGGGTGCGGAGGCGTGGAGAAGGGCGCTGGCTGGTGCAAGCGACCGACTGAGAGTTGCGACGGTGGCGTGGAGCGAGGGCGCGTGCGGGAGGTCGGTGTCGAGCTCCGGTGGCAGTCGATAAGGAGAGAGCAGCGGGCTGTGCCGTGACGGCGACGAGGAGCGCGGCTCAGGCGGCAGCCTGGTTCGAGCGCGGTGTCGTCGGAGTTCGAGAGAGGCGGACGGTTAGATGCGTGCATTGGGAGAGGCGGAGTGTGGTCGACGCGGAACGGCCAAGTGAAGCGGGGCGTACGGAGATAGGGTGGCGGCTGGGTGTTTTCGTGAGGCGTGAGGGGAGAAGAGAGAGAGAGAGAGAGTATAAGGCGGTCTATGCTCTCGTGGAACAGGAGAGGGGGAAAAAACGAAATATATATATAGGGTTTAGGGTTAGGGTTAATTTAAACAAAAATTAATTAAAATAAAATAGTTAAGGGTATTTAAAAATTAAACTAATTACACAATATTTATCTACAATTAAAAACGTACCTGTTGTGGTAATACAAGAGTTGATACGAATTAGTTAAAATATACCCATATTATATAATTAAACAAGAATAAATAATAATAAAAATATATTTACTTATATTTAAAATCAAATAATTATGGGATAATTATATACACAGTAAAACGTACTAGTTATACCAATACGACAGAAAATATATAACAGTAGAATAATTCAACAAATTATACCAAAAAACACGTAATTAATAATACCATGTATTATATGAAATAATTTGTAATAATATTAATAATACAATTTATTATTTAAAATATTACGTAATAGTACTGATAACACAATAAATTAATTCTAGAAATTTTTAAATACAAATATATAATCAGATTTTTAAATCATAGAAAATTATAGGAAATCGAGAAAAATACAAATACTCTTTTTAAAAAAAATAATTAAATATTTTAAAATACCAAAAAATTATTTTAACTAGTATCAAAATTTCACGGTCATTACAGAAATACAATTGGCCTACATCTCACAAGAATTCATACATAACCAAGAAACGAGGTCATGTAACTAGCCATCCTAAAACTCACTGGTCTACATCTCACATAAAGTAAACATTCATATCACCGGATAACTGACTGTTCACAAATCCTCTACGCGCATCCAATACCGCTACACGAATCAGTCAGAGAACTACACGCAATCCGATATCGGCCTGGTTCGAACTCAGGCAAAGCTCAGGTGACGAAACAGGTCACGGACTAAAGTGACTACACGAATTCACTGGCGCAAGCCTGGAAGATACATCAACAATCACATCCAAGCACATGAATATTAACTTCCCCATCCCAACGCTTCTCGTTTTTCTAAGTCAACCATAATCCTAATTGAAACTCGAGTTCACCATCTAAACTCAGTCAACACACTCACACATGTCACTAAGTCTGTTCATGACGCACGAAGCCATTAAGTCATGAACTACTAATGGTTCTCAATCACAACAAGAGGCAATACAAGCAAACATGTTAAATACATTAAAATAATCGTAAAACGTAAAATGTGATCATAAACATCAAAAATATATATGCAGTCCGGTTTCATCAATATCTTACTATCCAGCCCTCTAAACTATTCATATAAAATCATAAATTACTTAAAATACAAAATAGATAATTCTTTTGCAAATAAATTCCTTTAGATCATCATATTATAAAAATGGTTTTTTTTCAAAATAATTCCTTTTAAATTATTATAATTTTTCTAAATGACCCGTTCTCAAATAAATTCTTTTTAATTAATATAATTATCCAAAAATGATTCCACTACCGAAATAAATTCTTTTAATTCATAATAATTATTCTAAAATAATCTTTTCTCAAAATAGTTTAACAATTCAAATAATCTATTTTTCCAAAATAAATTATTTTAAATTATCTATTTAATAATTATTCAAAACCAACTCTTTTTCCAAATAATCTCTTTTCTCATCATAATAATTCTAATTAATCTAGAAAACGTTAACTTATCATTTGAAATCATTTAATATCGTCATCAACAGTCCTATGCATATAATAATAAATCATAATTAAACCATGCAAACAATTCATAATAAAAGTAAATATTCAAACTACGAAACAGGGAGAGCGGGATCTTGCCTCGGGTTCGTGTCGAACGTATCGACGCTGGCGACGCGGGTCGGATCAGACGCGAGGGCACGGCGTCGGGAAGAGCTCCGGCGAGGGGCTGCGGCGACGGGC